TTCTTTAGCCTTTTTTTGTCTTTGAAGCTCTTTACCTTACCTGCAATTCTAAATGTATAAATACTGGGTAGAGTAATCTTGGTTAAGGGCCTTAACTTTGAATATTTCTTGCCACTCTCTTCTGGCCTGCAATGTTTCTGTTGAGAAATCAGCTGACAGTCCTGTAACACTCCCTGGTAGGTAACTAACTGCTTTTCTTTTGGTACTTTTAAGATTCTTTCTTTTTCTTTAATCATTAGCATCTTACCTAATAATAGACAAACATTTAAATTGACTGCACCTCCACTAAACCACCAGCCAATTAGGAGTGATATGGAAATTAACTCAACAAAGATGGCCATTAATTTGCATACACAGGAGCTGAGTGATGGGACAGGATGTTTGCATGGTGACCACACAAGTGTTCTGCCCCACCCCGTCTCTCAGGGACTTTGGGCAGCATGGGAAGGAGGGGCCACACCAGAAAGAGGCCACTCCCAGAGTGGAAAGAGGAGGTTTTGAGGCCTGAATGGAAAGGGGCTGGGCTGGAGTGGAAAGGCAGTTCTGGCAGCCAAGGAAAGGAAAACCCATCTTAGCACAAATGTTCATGCATCGAGCTTCTAGTTTTAATTATAATGTTTCTTGGTGTGGGCCTCTTTGTGTTCCTCTTGTTTGGGACTCTCTGTGATTCCTGGACTTGCAATTCAAGTCTATTTGTTCCACCAGGTAGAGGAAGTTTTTTGTTATTATTTTTTCAAATAGGCTTTCAATGTCTTGCTCTCTCTCTTCTTTTCCTGGCACCCCCATAATGGAAATGTTGTTATGTTTGAAGTTGTCCCAGTGGCTCCTTAAATTATTTTTAATTTTTAGATTCTTGTTTCTCTGTGCTCTTCTGATTGGATGTGCTTTACTCTCTCATATTCCAAATTGTTTATTTGATTCTTGGAATCCTCTACTGTACTGTTGAATTGCTGTAAATTATTCTTTATTTCAGTTAGTGTATGCTTAATTTCTGATTGGTCTTTTTTCATGACTTTGACGTTCTCACAAAACTCCTTGAAGCTCTCATTGAGATCCTTAAACAACCTTATAATCATTGTTTTGAACTCTATCCAGTAGTTTGCTTGCCTCCATTTCATTTATTTCTCTTTTTGAAGATTTCTTCTGTTCTTTCATTAGTGACATGTTTTTTTGTCTCTGCATTTTGGCTGCTTCTCTGTGTTTGTTTGTATGTGTTAGGTAGATCTGCTAGGTCTCCTGGAATTGGTAGAGTGGCCTTGTGTAGTAGGTGTTCTGTAGGGCCAGTGACAGCCTGAGCTGGGAGCTTTATATGCACCCCTTTGTGGGCTGTGAGCATATTCTTGTTGTACTTGAAACTTAATTGCTATTGGTGTCACTGGGAGTGGTTGACCTCCAGGGTAGTTGCTATGAGGACCAGCTGCATCTACACTGGAAGAGCTGCTATTCAGGAGACACCCTATGGAGCAGGTCGGGCTTTGTGCTCAATGAGTCTGCCTCTTGAATGTATCACTTGTAGATGTGTAAAGTTGTAATCTGGTATGGCCTGTCTCTGGAGCCTCCTGGGAGGTGCAAAGTCAGCCACTGCCTGGGGCCACCCAACAGGAGCTACAGCAGTATCTCCAAATCATTTCTATTTTATTGGGTTTGGAAGTATCCAGGTGAGACAAAGCTGTGAAGCAAAGAAGGCTAGTGCTAGTGCCAGGTCTTGGGCCTCTTATTGATAGATATGGCAATGATGGCAACTGATGCTTGTTTAATAGATTTTAGGAAAGTCTGAAGCCTGATCCAGAAGAGGCTTCTGTATTTTCATACAGAAAATCCACTGTAAACAGCTTGGGTACGGCTGCAAGTTGGATGGGGCAGGGTCTCAGGTTATCACCAAGGTGGACTGAACAGTGTGAACAAGATGATGGAAACTCATATATGCCTGCCAGTCAGCTTTACAATAGGGTATATCCCAGCACAGAAACAATGACCCCATCCCTATGAGCATCTCCGTTTGGGTGAAAGTCATCCCTGAGTTCTTGCCCTTATGCCACAAAATCCAGTTCCTCTTTGTATGCCCCTGGTTCCCTCAATGCCATGACCCAGTGCTGGTGCTCAGAGGGAGTGGGATCATGTACATTTGTGCACCAGCCCTTTAAGAGGGATTGCCTGAGTCTTCAGCAGTCTCCATGTCACTCAGGCACAATCCTAACTAACTGGTGTTTACAGACTGAAGTTATGGAGACTTCTCTTCCAGCTCTAAAGCCATGGGCTAGGGGTCTGGTGTGGGGCTAGGGGTCTGGTGTGGGGCTGGGCTCCTTTGATTCTCATGGGAGGCCTCCACAGCCATGATATCCCTCCTGATTAAAAAAACAAAACAAAACAAAACAAAATAAAACAAAACAAAACAAAACAACAGGCCACACCACCACATGTGGGTGTTGGACCAGCCCCTTCCAAACCAGAGCCTGTGTTACCAGTCTTGATGTATTTTCTTATTTACTTCTCTAGTTGTAGGATTGCCATTCAGTTACTTTTCAGGTATTTCTGAACAATGGTTAATCTGTATTTTAATTGTAATTTTGACATGATTGTGGGAAGTGGTGAGTGCTGGCATTTACCTATGCCATCATCTTGGTTCTCCTCTCTTGTGCAAAAACTTTTATTTATTCTCCTTGGGGGAAAAAAAAGGAAGCATGGCTCATATTTAAAAAATAACACAGAAAGAGAGAGAGCATGGCCCATATTAAAAAAATAACACACACACAGACAGGGGAATTTTAATAGAAACTGCTTTGTAGAAGGACAATTTTATAAGAAGTTTCAAAGTGTTCATACCCTCTAATTTTTACTTCAAAAAATTTTCCTTGTCTCCTCTGAGAATCTGTCTAATTGCATCCTACATGAGAGATTATACCCTTTGTTACAGAAATCTAAGACCATTAAACTCCCGAATAAGGCTGCGCCTCCCTGCAGAATTTCTGAAGTGCATATCTGCTCTTTGACATTTTTCTATAGATGAGAAATAAAAAAAAATTAAAAAGGAGAGAGATAATTTTCTTTTATAAAAAGGAAACCTTTCAAGCATTTTATGAGGCTAACTTTTACCACAGACATTATGTGAAGCGCTCCTTCTTAGAAACCAAGAGCCAGAGAACTGTTTGGGGGCAGAAATCAGGAACAATCATACCCTAAAAGATGACACTGATACTAAAAATACATTAAGTCCATTGTTTTTGGTTCTAATCTGTGGCTTCTGATGCAAATGACCACTGAAATATATGATAATTCTGATTTTTATTATCTATTTATTAATGACAGTAAAGAAAAATCTTAAAGTACTAGAGATTAGATATGGAGATAAGGTTCTCAAATATAAAGTGTACAGTTTCCAAATTTGAAATTATCTTCTATTAAGAAAAATCCTTTGAGTAATATTCAGAAGATTCCAGCCCCACCTACTGAGTATCCCAGTCATTGAATATTCCCTAGATATTACAGAAGAGTGATAAACATTCTTGTGAATATTATAAAGTTAATTCAATAATTTTGGGATCATTTGCTACACAGTTGTAGTACCTGGAACAACTCCCTTATTATATATCTCTCTGGGAGCCCTATCTCCATATCCACTGTGTTACAGCAAAGAAGTCTGAAACTGGATTGTATATTTTTATCTTGATTAGAAACTCATAAACCATTAGTTCTGCTGCATTCTGTTGGAAACTCACGAGTCAAAATCCTATCTATTGTCAAATGAAGGGAATATAGACCTCTTCTCTTAAAAAAGGAGTGTGAAGTGCATGGCAGATGGGAAATAGGTTGTGGCTATCTCTGGAAATACAACCTGCCACCAGATTGGATAAAGAATCATGAAACGTCCAAAAGTTGGAATGTGAGAACCTGAAAAAATAAAAAAAAAGACTGGAAATAATTTAACACTAAAGATTTTTCATATCACAATTATAAGTGAGGTGACATAGGTGCAAATGTAACAGAATTTATAATGTAGAAATAAATGGAATAAGAGAAGAATATGATATAGTGGTATTCCTCAGTAAATATGAACAAATAAAGTAAATCCATTACTGCCTAAGCATAAAATGCCAAAATGAGTATGAAAATAAATGTAAAAGTTGAATGGATTAGTACTATATACAGTATACAGAGCTTAGACCAATAATAGCTCATGTCTCATACTAAGAATTTAAAAATATAGGAGAGTATTGAAAGCTTTGAGTAAGGAAAACAGCAGGCTGTTTTTGACATTGTCAGCAGTACTGAGAATAGATTGAAAAGGTTATATCAAGAAAGATATTTAGGAGGCTATTATAGGTGTTGGATTTAATATGGTACCCTGTTTCCCCGAAAATAAGAGAGTGTCTTATATTAATTTTTGCTCCCAAAGATGTGCTAGGTCTTATTTTCAGGGGATGTCTTATTTTTCCATGAAGAAGAATACGGTACACATTTATTGTTAAATGAAAATAAAGGAAATTTATTACCTGTATACGGTATGGTAGTACTGTAGTTGTCAACACAAACCAGACAAACTGTGAATCCTACAGTATCAAGAATTTACTCATTTATTCAATGTCAATCATGTCATCATCTTCTGGAACATCATCATAACAATCTAATTCCTGAATTTCCTGGTGAATTTCTTGTGACTCCATTTCTGTCAAAATCAGTGGACCAAATCTCTCATGTTTAGCCTAGGGGGTGCCTTATTTTCGGGGGGATGCCTGATATTTCACTCAGAAGGAAACCTGTAAGTAGGTCTTATTTTCAGAGGATGTCTTATTTTCTGGGAAACACGGTAGGTAGCCAAGGAAGCAAGAATCAAAGAATGACTCTGAGATTCTGAGTGACAGTATATGTTGATTCTATTAACCAATATAGAAAATACAATAGTGTAGACAAGACTGTTCCAAAATCTGAGAGTCAATGTGCAAAATAATAACTTTATAACTAAATATATGCTAAATGTAACATTTCCTGGACCAAAGTTGGTATGTAAAGATAAAGTCAAGCGATATATATTTATAATGTTTTTGTTTTTTGTGAGAAAAACAAGATATATCTGCTATAGTTCTGTTTTTGTTTTGTTTTTTAATTTATTATCTTAAGTTTTACATATGTCTCCTTTTCCCCAATTGACTCCCCAACTATTCCCACCCTGGATAAGGCCCCACAGCCCAGGTGTCTGTGTTCATTGGTTATGCTAATATGTATACATACAAGTCCTTTGGTTGCTCTCTAAACCAACCTCTCCTGCCATTTGTCTCTAGATCTATTTTTTTTCATCAAAGTATATTGATCATTATATCCCACATATGAGTGAGATCATGTGATATTTATCTTTCTCTGATTGGCTTATTGTGCTTAGCATAATGCTCTATAGTTCCATCATGCTATTGCAAATGGTAGCAGTTTCTTCTTTTTTTACAGCAGCATAATATTCCATTGTAGAGATGTTCCACAGTTTTCTAATCTACTCATTGTAAATTGTGCTGCTATGAATACAGGGATGCATATATCCTTTCTAATTGTTGTTTCTGGTTTCTTGAAATAATTCTAGAAGTGGGATTACAGGGTCAAATGGGAGTTCCATATTTAACTTTTTGAGGAAACTCCATACTGTTCTCCACAGTGACTGCAACAGTCTGCATCCCCACCAGCAGTGCACGGGGGTTTCTTTTTCTCCACATCCTTACCAGCACTTGTTGTTTGTTAATTTATTGATGATATCCATTCTGAAAGGTGTGAAATGTTATCTCATTGTTTTGATTTGCATCTCTCAAATGATTAGGGATTGAGGATATTTTCACATGTTTCTCAGCCTTTTGTAGGTCTACTTAGGTCCTTTGTCCATTTTTTTATTGGGTTATCTTTCTTTTTTTAAGTTGTATGAGTTCTCTGTAAATTTTGAATATTAAACCCTTATCTGAAATAGTTTTGGCAAAGATGTTCTCCCATGCAATGGGCTTTCTTGTTGTTTTGCTGATAGTTTCTTTTGCTGTGCAGAAGCTTTTTATTTTGATGTAGTCTCATTTGTTTATTTTCTCCTTGGTCTCCATTGCTCTAGGAACTGCATTGGTAAAGATATTGCTGGACATATATCTGCTGTTTATGGAGTCTTGTAGGATTTTTATGGTTTCCAATCTTACATTTAAGTCCTTTAGCCATTTTGAGTTTGTTTTTGTGTACAGTGTAAGTTGGTGATCTAGTTTCATTTTTTTTTTTTTTGTGCATATATCTGACCAAATTTTCCAGCACCATTTATTGAAGGGACTGTCTTGACTCCATTGTATGCCCTTGCCTCCTTATTAATTAAGCATAATGGATTAGAGCAATTTCTGGGTTCTCTGTTCTGTTTCATTATTTTATATGTCTGTTTTTGTGCCAATATCAGGCAGTTTTGATAACCATGGCTTGGTAATATAGTTTGATATCTGGTAAAGTTGTCCCTCCAACTTTGTTTTTCTTTCTCAGGATTGCTATGGCTATTGGGAATCTCTTTTTATTCTAGTTGAATTTTTGTAGAGTTTTTTCTAGATCTTTGAAATATGCCATTGGTATTTTATTGGAGATTGCATTGAATCTGTAGATTGCTTTGGGTAATATGGGCATTTTAATTATGTTAATTCTACCAATTCATGAACCTGGTATATTCTTCCATTTGTTTATGTTTTTCTATATCTCTTTTTTCAATGTCCTGTAGTTTTCTAAGTATAGGTCTTTTACCTCCTTAGTTAAGTTTATTCCTGGGTATCTTAATTTTTCTGGTGCAATGGTAAATGGGATTGTTTTTTTCATTCCTATTTCATGAGTTCATTATTGCTATATAAAAAGGCCATAGATTTCTGGATGTTAACTTTGTATCCTGCTACATTGCCAAATTTATTTATTAGGTTTAGTTTTTTTATGAAGTCTTTGGGGTTTTCTATGTACAGTATCATGTCATCTGTGAATAAGGACAGTCTTAATCTTCTTTTCCAATTTGGATGGCTTTTATTTCTTCTTATTGTTTGATCGCTATGGCTAGCACTTCCAGTATTATATTAAACAGAAGTAGTGAAAGTGGGCATCCCTGTCTTATTTTCATTTTTAGAGAAAATGAGTTTATTTTTTGCCCATTGAATATGATGCTAGCTGTAGGTTTGTCATATAAGGCTTTTATTATATTGAGGTATGATCCCTCAATTCCCACTTTACTGAGAATTTTTATCAAGAAAGGATTTGGGATTTTGTCAAATGCTTTTTCTGCATGAATTGATATGATTATGAGATTTTTGTCTCTCAATTTGTTTATGTGATGTATCACATTTATTGATTTGCAGATATTGTACCATCCTTGCATCCCCAGAATAAATACCACTTAGTTATGGTGTATATATCTCTAATGTAATGCTGGATCTGATTTGCTAGAATTGTGTTGAGGATTTTAACATCTATGTTCATTAAGGATATTGGCCTGTAGTTCTCTTTTTTATTGTGGTGTCTTTATCTGGTTTTGGAATTAGGGTAATGCTGGCTTCATATAAAGAGCTTGGTATATTTGGAGGCTGGGGTTAGAGAAAGCTAAGGAGACCAAGAGATGAACATTTCAAAAAGAAAAGTTTCTAGTTTCCATTCAATCATGAAAGCAACTTAAAAGTCATCATTTCATTTAATAATAAGTGAAAAGCTGAACAAATTGAAAATCAGTGATTCTTCTTTTATCTACCAGAGAAATGCAGTCACAGAGTAAACCACTACCTCCAAACAGGCAGATAGAGAGAATCACACTCACTTAAACAGAAACCAATGAACAGAAATCAATGTGGGAACAAATACTGGGATCAGATAATTCTATTATGCAATTAATGAGTTGCTGGAGGCAATGTGGACAAGCCTGAGACATAAAATCTCCAGGGGACTCAGCTATTGGGAAGCCCTCACACTTTTGTGAATTTTACTTTTAAGAACTCTAACAGCTTTTTAAAATGAAGAGCAGAGAAAAATGTCCTTGTGCTTACACAGAAGATGGAAGAAAGTAACCATTTTTTAAAAATATGACAGGATAGTCTCTTCAAAAGGTCTTCCTTTGAAGAAAATATTTAATCAGTATGAGAGAAGGGAAATACTAAATAATAGCCCTCTCTAGTCATCCTCTCTCACTTAAAGAAGTGGAAAAATAAAACAAAAACTGATAAATACCTGTGAAATTCACAGCCACAGGTGTGCAGCCTCACTAAAAGACTAAGTCCTAATCATGGGCCAATAGACTGCTTTCTTCTCCCAACAACTTGCCGCATTATTAAAGGTCTGCTTAGTATAGTTCCTTTCATATTATGTTGCCTTTTCAACAAAAAAAATATCATGCATATGGTAAGAGGCAAAATATACAGTTTGAAGATATAGAGTAAGCACCCAAACCAGACCCCATTATGACTGGGAAACCGCCTATTGTCTTCACTAGCAGAGCAGTGTGGACAAGGAGCCTGGAATGCTGGTGACCCTTGAGCCCTGGCAAAGGTCAGAGCAATGCTCCCACTGTTTAATGGAGATAATGGGAAATTATAATCAGACCACAAATTTAAGTCAACTATGGTTAGTGTGCTAAGGACTCTAAATGGAAAAGAAGGCAACATGTAAGAACAAATAGGTTCTATAAGAAGAGAGATTGAAATTCTAAGAAAGAATAAAATATAGATTATAGAAATAAAAACACACACACTTATTTGGAAATGAAGAATACCTTTGGTGGGTTCATCAATAGAATAGACACATCTGATGAAAAAATATCTTAGCTTGAGTATATGTCAGTAGAAACTTCAAAAACTGGAAAGCAAAGAGGAAAAAAAAGAGACTGAAAAAAAAGAACACAATTCCCAAGAACTGTGGGTAAACTATAAAAGATGTAACATAAGCAAAATGTGAATACGAGAGAAGATATACATATGATAAATAAGTGTATTAAAGATGCTCAAAATCATATATCAATAAGAAATTGAAAATTAAAATAACAATAAAACTATTGTACGGCTATTAGAATGACTGAAATTTTTGCATTAATGACTTATTAGAGGAGGTCAGGGAAAAGACTACTAAGAAAAAGCTATGCTGCCATCAAATAGATGCTTCGATCAGGCAGGGAGAGCTGATAGAGCTTAGGAAGAGGAGAGAGGGCCTCTCAGCAGCTACTCCCTGATAAGAAATACACATCTCTAAGGAAGAGTAGTCCCCAGCTTTCATCTAACAGTGCTTATGTAACTTCACATGATTCTCTTATCCCTGAGAAATTCCTTCTCTGAGACCTTTGACTTTCCATCCATATCCATTCCCTTCTTTCTGTGGAAGTGTAGTCTTTTCAAGGAATCGAAAGAATTCTGGGGTCTCAGAGAGGTTTAGTGATGAGATTCATCTGGTGGAAAGAGAAGGCTGCCCCTGTTCTGCCATTCCCCATCCTTCTGAATGTTTAATTTATTTCAATAGTTTTATCTATTGCCTTAAAGCCCTTCATATCACTTCTCTTACTAAATTATTTTCTATACAAATTGGAGATGAAGTATTTTTTCTTAAGTATTTACCCTTTTCATGAAGTGGCTGTGAAGAGTGCTTAATACTCCTTGTTTCTGCCTCATTTCTCTCACCCCATGGAGTCTGCAACTGTGTGAGGGTAAATATTGTGGCAATGCAGCAATAAGGAGTTATTGTTTTTAACCAATAGAAGGACTACATATCTCATTCCTGCTCTGTGAGTATGGGGGTGTTTGCTGAGGAACTGAGAGGGAGAGTGGGGAGTGAGGTGGAGTCTAGGATAGGGAGGAAAGGAAGAGAGCCAGCAGTAGTGGCTGACCTGGGCAGGTAGCATAACTTCCTGAGGGTGTGTGTAGTCTGATTAAATATGAGACAAATAAGTTTTGAAATCCATGGCAAAACAACAGTGCTGTTCCTGTAAGCCAATGTGTTAGTGTTTTAGAAAAATTACAATGCTCAAAACATTTATCAATTAGTAGATACATTGCAAACATCATTTAGTGATCTGAGGAACACAGAGCATTAGTGAGTAGCCAGTTACCTAATTTTGAGGAATAATTAAGCATTGTAAACTGGCTTCAGAGAAAATAACAAACTTCTCAGACTGCTTCGTGGTTCTAAATCTTTAATTGGACATTGAAATTCAGTTTTACTTTCCTTGGATTTAAGCTGAATTTTATCTTCAAGAAATAACTGGAAAGCTATTCTTATTCATTTCCTGCTTTGAATAACTGTATCACGTTTTAATCAGGAAAATGAAAAGGGGAGGAAAAGAATGAAGTATTGAGGTCAAATAAAAGACTGCACTAAAATAATCTCCTAAAATGAAACAAAATATGCTAAAATGAGTTAGACTGTGCTGAAAAATTAAGCACGGAGGAAAATCAATGCAAGAGTTTCTTTACTATGTTCTTAAAATATGCAAATTGCTTCTCAGTCTCTGGGTATGAAAATGGGCAAGCATTGTGGCTTTCTAGCTAAAACTCTAAGAATAATGTATTTTTATAACAATATCTTGTTATAATATTGCTATACCATAGTAGGTTTTCTATTTACTATTTGACATTAAACATAAAGCTTATTTTTGCATGAAATAGGGAATGCTATTAAGAAAAAAATATGAAAAGCAAGTGTTGGTTGCATGAACTCAGAAAGTTCCTACTGTTTGTGTAACTGATCTGGGTTACCTTTCTTAGAAAAACAAGGCTGTCTTATTGAAACTGAATAAGAACATTTCTTGGCCATAACAAAAGGGTACACTGCTGAGTAAATTAAATGGAACTAAGAAAAGATGAAGATACCAATGTTTTAAAAGCAAAAGAAAAATGGATAAGTAAACAGAAGCAAACAGAGTAATGCTGATGAAATTGAAATTTACATCTCCTACACTTGCCATTTTCATCAAATTTCAAAATGGGTCATCATTTCAGAGTCTGTAATCATGCCATTAAGGGTATTTGACTGCTTATGAGAAAAAATTATCTTATCTCAGGGAACTGCCATCATCTATTCTTCAAAAATAGTCCATCACATTTTTAAAAATAATGTATTACTTGTGATATGTCTTTATAAAGAATAAAAATTAACAAGATAGGATTATGAGCAAGTTTTCTCCAACAGTTTTACTTTATGATTGCCTAAGAAGAAAGAAAACCAAAAACAGTACCATTAGCTTCACAGAAAGAAAGAACTTCCATTTTTTAATCCAAATTGGCTACTGCCACAAACATTACTGCTTCAACAAAAGGATCTCTCTGGTCTCTGGTTTTGCCTTGGTTGCTATCAGATAATCTTTCAGTATTTGGTATAATGTCTACTTTCAGTAAATGTCTTTCTCTATCTCCCATAGAGAATGTAAGAATCAGTAATTCTTCTCAGTTCTCAACCCCATGAGTTAAATTTCTGAAATTTACAATCCCCCAAGTACTATGTAAACTCACTGAAACAGCTTCCTATGGCTTACTAATTCTACTGTTATAGTACTCAAATCCTTTCGTTTGCCAAAATAAACAATCCCAATACAATCATAAATGCTAAAAATTTCATAAACATATTAAAAGTACCACCTGTAGTATAAATGTGATTTTCTACATTCAGTTAGACTTGTCTGGTGTTATTTATCCCCAGGGTATCTCTGAACTTATTTTTTAATTCACTCTTGAGAGCAGTGGCCCATAACTGCATTCTAATTGCTTAGAATATTCTACTGATATATCTCTGATTGTGTGTATCCAAATTTTATTAACATTGATGATTGTGCTCTTCTTATATCTGTTAAACACAATAGATTACAAAAAAATATGGACTGTATTTATGTACAGAATTTGGGATATAGTGATTTTTCATAGTGAAGCTTTGGGAGTCTTTAGGGCTCCTACTATCTCAGGGAGAACACTGGGTTCACATAAATTTATATTCTTTTTCACATGCCTTTAGCAATGTCTGACTACATGGTGTTCAATATCTCAAATGCCTATAAAACAAGGATTCTAAGAATTATGATTTCCACCCATTGGAAGATATTCTACCTCCCTGGGTTTCATTCATTAACAAATGTTTATTGAAAGCCACTAATGTTTTAGGCATTGTTTCAGCTTCAGGACTATGAACAAATAAAGCATCTCATTCCTCATGGATATTACATTTTAGATGGGGAGAGAGATGATAGTAAATAAATTAACATGCTAACAGTATCAGGTAATGATGAATGTTATGAAAAAGTATGGTAAACAGCTATACAGTGACTATGAAAAGGGCTATTTTAGATGAGTGATCAGGAAAAGCTTCTCAAAGAATGTGGCATTTGAGTAGAGACACCAGTTTGTGCTTCAATTGAATTGTGAATCTTCCTGGAACCATTTGCTAAATTCTATAGCTCTTATTTGTCTTTCTGATAGTCTTGAACTATGTTAAAGACATTATAGTGAACACAAACCCTATATCCAAATAGGGCTCTATCAAACAATTTATTAAGACTTCCTTTCTGTTCCTGAGATATTACCATATTTGCAGTATTTGTGGGTGAATTGTGAGGTCAACATTGAGTTTCATGACAGTAATGAATATAATCCTACCTAATAAAAGAGAAATATGCAAATTGACTGCACCTTTGCTATGCCCACAAGCCCCGACCACCAACCAATCAGGGTGAGTATGCAAATTAACCCAACCAAGATGGAGATTAATTTGCATATCCAAGCCAGAGTGAAGACTGAAGATGCATAGAAAGAAGCCAAGTGCTGCAGAAAAGCAAGCAAGTGGGGCAGGGAAGAAGGAAGGGAAGCAGGTGGGCTGGGAAGAAAGGAGGAAAGAAGGCAGGGCAGCGATCGCAGCAGGAAGCCCTATTGCAGAAATCTTCCTGCAAGGGGCATCTAGTAGTATATAATGATCATGATGATAATTATGATGATGATCTATACTATACTAATAATAAAGGAATATGCAGATTGTCCAGGACACCATCACAGTAACAGGCTGCTTCATAAGGTGACCAGGCCGGCAGGGGGGTTAAAGAGGAATGACCAAATGACCAAACAGCAAGCTGTGTGGGGCAACCAGGCCAGCGGGAGGAGGGAGGCACAGTTAGTGGCAATTAGGCTAGTGGGGGGAGGCAGCTAGGGCAACCAGGCTGACACGGGGGATAGTTGGGAATGACCAGCCCAGCAGGGGGCAGTTAGGGGCCATCAGGCAGGCAGGCAGGTGAGTAGTTAGGAACTAGTGGTCTGGATTGTGAGAGGGATGTCTGACTGCTGGTTTAGGCCCAATCCCTAAGATCACGCCTAAACTGGCAGTTGGACATACCCGAGGGGTCCCAGATTGGAAGAGGTGCAGACTGGGTTGTGGGAACCCTCCCTCTGCCCCTGTGTAAGAATTTCAAGTCCTGGGCTTCTAGTATATATATATATAAAAAGTCATCCTTAAGATAAAGTTTTAAAACCTATTATAAGCACACAATTTTCTCTTGTTTGAGATACTTTACTAGGCCCCCAAATTTCATATATTTTCCTACTATCTTTTATATAAAAGTAAATATTAATGATTTCTTTGGAGTTTGTCACATATAAAAGTAAATATTAATGATTTCTTTGGAGTTTGTCACTTGTTCATTTTAACAGAATAATGCTAGACCACTACACAGTAACAGCTTATGACACATATAACGGATAATTTTAAGAGCGGATCATTTGAGTACAAATTTATTTCTTTTTAATGAATATATATTTTCCTGCTGGTTCCTTGGAAAGTAGCATTTATATTGCAACTGTTCTTGGGTATGGATAGTGTAATGACAGTTTCAGTTGCAAAGAAAAAATTGCCAGTAGACTCTAGAGGCCAACTGTACTTGTACATTTCAAGTTTCCTGTGAAGTCTTTGGCAAAGTAATAAGGAGAATCTTAATGTTGGGGAACCAAAGATAAATATACCCCAAATGCTTTTATCTGTTACCTCTTTATAATCGTTGAACTCTGTTTGATTTACCATTTGATTTGGTTATTTTCTGACCATGATTATTGATTCCTCATCTTGACATTTTGTTTTACCTTTTCCCATGACTTTTCATGATATTTAAATAACTCCAACTAATCAATAGCTTTTTACCTTTTAATTATGGGGATTTTATTGAATAATTAACTGGTCTCTTTCATAGAAGCAATAAAATTAAATCTAAATTTGGTCATTCATTATTTGTTATTACATGTATTATTTATTAACTGATCTTTAAAAGCATTAATTGTCCAAGTGTTATAGATCTCAAATATTTTAACCATAAATATTTGGCTTATTCATCAGAAGAAATATAATCCTTTAAAGGATATTTTCTAGAATAACTCTTTGGACAAAAGATAGTTGATATTATAATTTATTAATGTTAATTCAGTAGTTACTTGGCTGAGAACTTTGGTGAATATGAGTACAGTCTTTTTCAGGAAAGCTTGAGCTAAAAATCTAGAATGGTCAAGTTATGGTTTATAAGCTAAGTGGGATTTTTACAAAAGGTATCTATATACTGTATTTTGTGAAGGTAACTTATTTAACCATTTTAGTTATGCCATAAACTACACTTTATTAAGTGTTACTATAGATACATAAACTTAATTATGCTTAAAGAAAATAATAAACAATAGAAGAGTTTTCAATAAGAATTTAGTTTGGAGCCATTAAATGAAAACATGGAAAATTATATGTCATGGATTGCTGCCAGTTAATTAGTGGGTAAAAAAACAACTCAGAAGAAGTTTGGCAAACAACCTGAAATTTAAGTAAAAATTATCAAGGAGTCAAAGAGTAATAGAATTGTGAATACTCTGAGTTTAAAAAGAGCCTACCTTGAAGTACATGAAATAAACAATTCCTTAATGTTTATTTCCTTAAAATGTCTACTAAGTGGTAATCTATTATTGAACACATACAAGCAACTTATTGCCACACTTCTATCTTTTATATTTCTATTAAAAAGTTATTGTAAAAAATCAAACCTACTGAAGTTCTTCCTAGTGTTATCCTTAAGGGGTTAAAGAAACCTGTCTTATCAGAATAAACATATCAACAGCCCACTCTTTGAAGATAGCAATGAACATTCTGGGGCCAAATGAAGCTACCATTCCTCCTTCATTTTAATGGAATCTAGAAACCCATTCTATTCATGTGCCTAGAATGACATCAGCTTTTGTGAGTGGACAGTATACACTTGACACAAAGTGAATTCAGAGGCTATTATAACCTCAAAATCAGTTGGAACAATATTGTTGAGTCATGTATCCCTATTAAATTTTTTTAGAATCTAATTCTGATATCTAATCTAATTCAGTTTTTCATTTATCTCTCAATCCGTCTCTCAATTACATTACATATGTAAATGAGTAAAAAATATGCTTATAATTTGGTTCAAAACATTGAAAAGAAGAGGTAAAAGACCTATATATTTGACACTTAGAAACTGCCATATTTATATTGACTTTTCAAATTAGAGTCATTTGATACAGTCACTTAACTAGTTCATAATTTACCTCATTATGGTAGGATTTAGCTATTTCTATATTTTGGTCAGAAACCTATCATTGAAATATAGTTAATGTTAATTGCTATCTAGATATCATGCCTATTTCAAATGGCATAACTTTGAATTTAATACAGTAGATATTTGATTCTGTGTACTTCACTTTAACGTACTTTGAATTTATCTGATTTATATGTCATATGTAAAAATAAATGCCCTGTTCATTTTAAAATGCTTTTAATCAAGATTTGATTATATTTAAGTTAGCAGATTATTTTGTTGCTATTGTTGTTATTAGTCCATTGTTTTTTTTTTTAAACAAATTTTAGTGGATAGGCCCTATGCCAGGAAAAACAGTGAAGTAATTTCTCCAACATAAATAAATATTACATACCTATAACTATAGTCTACAAATTCAAATCCAAGTGTCACTATTCATAAATGATATTAATTTTAATTATACAAACATGTCTACATATATAAAAACAGATAAACTAATTTGTCAAATTTTTAGCATATACATTCAGAACAACTACTTTATTATATAAGGACTTTCAACGTTAACAGGCACCCCTTCTCCAAAATTAGTCCATTATATTGAGGTTTCTTCTGTAATACCATCAAAGAAAGATATAGGATAGTTCACTTTTTATTTCCTTTTCCCATCCATCAACAATCCAGTCAATCACTGAGTATAGCTGATTTTCTTCTAAACATATTGATTTAATCTTTTCCCTTTTCATGCTCCCACTAGCATATTTCACATCAACTGATGGCCCCATAACCAGAGGTGGATCTATGTTTGAGGAGATCTGAAGTTTATACATTTTTTTTAAAAGTCCTGTTTAAGAAAAAT